GATCAAGCTTTCAGAGAAGAACCATAATGCAACAGATGGACTGGAATTATGTGCAATGACTACTAGAATGACCTAGATTATGATTGTGGATAGCATGGTTTATAGTGTATTGTTGAAGGCTTTCATGGCCGGAATCACTGGGTTGTTGTAGGTTTTTTTGGGCTGTATGGCCATGGTCTAGATGCATTCTCTCCTGACGTTTTGCCTGAATCTATGGCAAGCATCCTCAGAGGTAGTGAGGTCTGTTGGAACTAGGAAAAAGGGTTTATATATCTGTGGAATGACCAGGATGAGACAAAGGACTCTTGTCTGCTGGACCTAGGTGTGAATGTTTCAACTGACCACCTTGATTAGCATACAATCGGCTGACTGTGCCTGGAGCAAACCTTTGTTGAGAGGTAGTTAGATGTCCCTGCCTGCTTCCTCTCTGTTGTTGTGCTGTTGCAATTTTAGAGTTGCCAGATTTTGTTCATTTTCATGGTTTTATAGTGTTTCTAATGTTTTTAAAATGTTTTAATGTATTTTAATTTTGATTTTAATTTCAAATTAAATGTTGATTTAATTGCATATTGTTGTTAAGGCATTGAATTATTGCCAAACTATAAACTGCCTTGAATCCCCTTCAGGGTAGAGAAGGACAGGATATAAATATAGTAAATAAATAAATAAGAGAAGGTTTATTCTTACTGAGGCTGCATCTATACTGTCCTATATCCCAGAATCTGATCCCAAAATATTTGCTTATCCCAAATTATCTGGCAGTGTAAACTCATACAATCAAATCAGATAATCTGGGACCAGATCCTGGGATATAGGGCAGTGTAGATCCCACCTGAGCTACAATTCCCTTCACAAGTCCATACAAAGAAACAGGCATTATTATTTTAGGGTGAAGGTGCTTTAAAATAAGATGAAAACAAGGCTTCAGTTTTCCTGTAGAGCTCCAGGCTCACATGCAGGAACCATTCTAAATTGGGTTTTGAGAAGCCTACTTTTTTTAGCACCCTCACCTTTAGCTAATTAGTGGCACCCTGCCTTTTTAACAATCCCAAGGGAGAATAAAGGATGCCTCCTCAAATTTCCATCATACTTTTTTTTACATCTGTACTGTTTTCTATTTCAGATTTCTGACACCTAGGGTCATTAAGGCTTGCAAGCATCATGCTGTTTTGCATTATCTTTCAAGTAGATTAGGAGTCTGGCAGCTCAGCTCCTGCCTCCAGGTTATTTTTTCTTAGTAGCATGGGGAATCTCCCAACTATGGATGCAACCTATAATTAACAAATTTACTTTCAAGTAGCTCATTTAACAGCTAGACATGGAAACCAAAATAATACACAGTTGAATTGTAGCCAAATACCTGCAAAATCCTGGAGATGAAGAAGAACAGGAGGAGGAAGAGAAGAAGAGGGGAAGGCACCCTCCATAGCAACACTCATAATCCTCACACTGAGCAAAGAACAATCAGGTGGTTTTAAAAGAAGACATGACAGCAGAGAATAATTTGCACCCTAAAAATATGATTAAAACATGATCACTGCACTGCTACCACCTCCTCCAGGGCCTCATTTTTTACTTTTTTAACTGATCTTTCCAAGGTGAAATTGTTATTTCAGAGCTCAGAGCTGAATTATGCATAATGGCTGCCACACTGTTGGACAGCACCGGTTCTACTCTGCATTAACATAGCATCTTTGGATCAGGGCTGGTTTAATGTTTATGTGACGAAACTACTGAATATGACCTCTGTTGGTTGATAAGGCAGTGTAATTTTATTATTGTATTGTAAATTCTTAGCATGTCCTTCCTATTTACAACTCATCTCAAAAGCACAATGTTTCTTTTCCAAAGACATGTGGTGAATTTTATATGCCACTCCTCCAAAGGTATAATTTATTATAACCCTCCAAAGCTATCATTTATTATAATCTTCCCCATCCTCATATTCCCCAAATATGCCGATCTACCATTCTCATTATGCTTCAGCTATAATGACACTGATAGGCCACTTAAACTCTGAAGTTGTGTTATATTAAAAATGGACATGTACTGGAGGATCCTTCACACAGGGGCTTTTAAGTACAGGGCTCTCCTCTGAGAGAAATTCAAACAGATTCCACTTCCCTACAAAGTAAGAGACGTGACCATGCAGTTCCTTGGTAATTCTACACTGTCTGTGTTCAAAGTAACTCCTTGTATTTATCAAATTATATTTACAAATACGAATCCTAAAACAGGCCCTAAAGTTGCATCTGATTAAGCCCTCCAAGGATATGAAGCATCTAGTCTAGTAGTTCTCAACCTGTGAGTCCCCAGATGTTTTGGTCTTCAACTCGCAGAAATCTGAACAGCAGATAAACTGGCAGTGATTTCTGAAAGTAGTAAACCAAAACACCTGAGGACCCACAGGTTGAGAACCACTGATTTCTAGTCTAAAAATGAATTGAGATTAGGGAACACCTGGTTGTCTAGAAACAATGAGTTGTCCTGTGATGGGCAGACTTTTACACACACATTGTATACATCATGGACATTTTTATAAGCTTTTACAACTGTGTTTGAGGGCATACTTGAAAATAAAGTGGTTTAAATCTTGTTTGAATGCATAAAGAAGAATCACCCGCACATATGAGCTTTGAAAATCTGTCAACTTTGGAAGGGCATCCGTGACCTTCCAGTTGTTATTGAACTACAACTGCCATTATTGGCTTGGATGTTAGAGCTGAATGGAATTGTAATCCAATAACACATAAAGGGCCACAGCACAAATTCCTCAGGCTCACCCTGACTAAGTCAGAATAGTCACTATCACCCAAACTGAAGAAATGGGTCACCAAAACAGGATACTAGGGGCAGGAGGGGGAGGGATGTGCATTAAATGTGCAAATGCTAATGATTGCAAATAGGAGTACAAAGCCAGAGACTGGAACTAGGGGTCTATTCCTATTAAGACAATGATAGCACTATTAACTCACTTTAACTGCCATGGTTCCATCCAATGGAACCCTGGGCTTGGCATTTTGGGGAGGAGCATTTTAGTTTCCCAGCCAAAGTGCACTGGTGCCCCCATCAAACTACAAATTCCATAATTCCTGGGAAGGAACCATGATATTTCAAATATAATAGCAGTGCCATAATTGTGTATGGATGGGTACCATATGATCTGAGTGCTGTTGATGAACGAATACAAGGTCTCTACTCTCCTTTCTCAGATCTATCTTTAAGCTAAATTTAGGTTGGAGGGTCCATCAATTAAAGAAGGTCTTCAAACAAAAGACTGACACCTAACCGCAATAGATCAGGCCTAAAAGTATTCACCCTTCAATTTGCTCCAGGTTTTGCTACTCTCTTAAATGCTGCTGAAAGAAAACAAAGCAATCTACTACAATGTGAATATCTAAAGAAGTGTAAGCACAATGGATATCCATGAGGAATGTGTACAGATCACACTTATCAACTCTTGACTTCCTCTGGCCTGCCTGTCTGCCCATTCCTAAAGCCTTTAAAGAGGCTCCCATGTCTCACACATAATCCTAATGCAAATCCATGGAATGAACAGTCACCAACTTCCTCTCCACCCTGGATCTAATGTAAACAAACATAATTTGAGGCCATGCATGTTGCAACTGCTGAGGCAGCATTTTAAAAGAAGCTAAATTTGTCACAATATGACTCATATATTTAGGTATGTTAGAACTGACTGGACTTTGGGACTTTCTGAAGTACTGGTAAAGCTAAAGTCCCACTACTTAAATGCACAAAAAGATATTTCCACAGAAGGACAAGACATGATCTATGTCTATGAAGACATTTTGTACCCCCTCTTGGGTTTCTAACATTCCTAACCTGTAGCCTCCCTAGCTGTGATTTAAAATCTTTTCCAACTCATGCAATTAGTTGGAAATGATTTCGCTGCAAGGACATAGCACAGGGTTCAGAGAGTGTCAGTTGTGGGATAGTGGTTGGTATTGGACTCAGATGTGGGAGATCTAGATTCTAGTTATACTAAATGACAAAGCTTACTGAGAGACCTTTGACCAGTCATTCAAACTAAACAACTTCACAACATTGTTGTGACAATAAATTAATGAAGCAGAAAACATGTATTGGGTTCACTAAAGAAAAGATATGACCTAAATGCAACTAATAAACATCTGTACTAATTAAAAAGAAGTCAGATCTCCTATGCTGGTTACCAGTGTTTCTATGGGTGAGGGAAAGTTATATACTGACACATAGTAGGGCTTTCACAATCTTTTGCAAAACTACATGTTTCGCTGCAGCATAGAAATAGCCTGAAACTGTAGAATGAATAGTTGGCACAGACAGAGTCATATGTAGACAGGATGACAACTGTATTTGCCACCAATATCACAATGATAGGATCAAATGGATGGCCACTGGTTTCAAAATATCAACAGCAGCATTAACAAAGACATAATGTCCCCACCTATATTGCTTTCAATCAGGGATAACACTGCTGCAGAATCTATGTTATTGTTGTCAGTCTCAGAACTCATATGAAGTGCATTTATCAGTCACTATCATGAATATCATGTATACATGAATTGCAAATACTGATAAAACTATAGATAGATTTTTCACATTACCTGACATAACTTGATGCACAACCCTCTCATCATTTCAGAACAAGTCACAAACATCTAAACAAGAAGTGGTTTGTATGTTTCTGAATCTACCTTCAAGTGCGAGAGAAGTGTCATGTGGGTGACACAAGCCAAGGGTAAAACTCTTAAGACAGTGTAAGATACTATCACTCCTTTGGAGCCAACATCTATGCTGGAAACACCAGTTTGGGCAACCTAACATTAGAGTCAAACATTATAAGCAAACAATTTTTATGTAACCAAACCAGTAGTCTTTCAACTTTCTGCAGGTACAAGTCAGAAGTACAGAGCCACATATACAATGACGAAAAATAAAACTTTCCAGGGTAATTAAGAAACACAGTGTCAGAAAACATGTTTATTTCCTATTACCTTTAGGAGAAGTGGATATTTGCAAATCCTCTGGATTGGGGTTAGAAGGTAGCCCTCAAGTGGAATGTCTGTCGTCTTTCTGCCTCCCAAAAGCATGCAGCTCTGTTGTAAAGAAAAACACAGAATTCACACTTGAATAAAAGCTCAAAAAATGTTAACAAATATTATTGTACAGCTGCTTATACAGTGGGCTTTATACATGGATGAGTTCAGAAAAGAAGAATCCTTTCAAAGTTGGTAAAAGACATATGCTGCACATTTAGTAGGGCAGGAGAATTTACACTTTGTATGGAAAAGTGTGTATGAGAGGGCAACTAATTGTTTCCCTTTACCTGATATATAGCATTGTGCCACATTACTTCAAAGAATTTACATCCGGGGTGTCTCCCTCATGCAACGAGCTGGAAAAGACTACAGGCGAAAAAGCCAAAGGTTATCTGCACCACGGGATTCTGAAGTCATGTTCTCTTCTGGTCCATCAATGAATTTCCAGGTACATAATGTTCCTGTACCATTCAAGCTAATGACCAGAGGAAAGAAACGCTCTAAACTAACAATGCATTCTATCCAGTGTTTGGAAAATTATGTTTTCCTTGTACTACAACTCTCAGAACCATGCAACCATTAATGATTAGTGATGAAACTGGCTGAAGGACTTTTCTGAGACCCGCATTCTGTCCAGTTGCAGTCAAAAATTAATGGTGATGATTACATTCAAGTAATACAAGAAACACAAAGCCTAGTTTATATAGATGGCTAATGACCTAGCAAGCCATCCTAAACCAGACTATTCAGAAATAAATCCCACTGAATACCGTGGTATATTATTTAAGAAGCATACAGGATATTATTATTATTATTATTATTATTATTATTATTATTATTATTATTATTATTATTGCAAAAGGCCACCCTACTCAGATCTGCATGCATTATTCGCTGATACATCACACAGTCCTAGACACTAAGAGAAACAACTGGAAAAGCTGTGATCTTGTTTGCTGTGTACTAATCTGGTGTTTATAATAATAATAATAATAATAATAATAATAATAACAACAACAACAACAACAACAACAACAGTAATCTCAGCCTGTCGACTTTTGCTTTTTGGGGGTTCTTGCAAGATATTTTCTCCTGAAATATGTCTGACACAGCTGTCCAGAACTACTCAGGTGTTTAGCAGCACAAACACTTGCAATTATTTTTCAGTGTTTTAACCAGACACCAATCATAGCCTTTGGCTGCAGACACAGGGAGACTTCTTTGATGCTCTGGCAATACTGGCTGCTACTTGCAAGAACTCTCCGTCGAATTCTCCAGGGTCCTTGTGTGATTCATATACCATTTCTATCCCCTTTGTTTTCTTTTACTCTCACGTTGGCCTTTGAATTAATTCCCTGTTTAAATCAGTTTCAGAACTGTAACATTCCCATTTTCCAAGGCAAGTCTGTTCTTTGGCTACTACCGAGAGAGCATCTCAGCCAATTCTGCCACACAAGAACCTCTTTCTTTTCTCATTTGACCTCATTAGATGGTGAAATTATTATGCCAGGCAGTACACTGGAAGAAAGGGGGAATGATGTAAGGAACTACCAAACCAAAAAAAACAGACTGCCCCATGACTGTCTTGACATAAAACTATTTTAAAACATCTTTTTAGGACTAACAAAATGTGACCACCGTCTATAAATCTTCCTGCCCAGTAGAACGCTCAAGTATCAAGGCTAAGAGTTTTTGCTTTAATTACTCCAATCAGTCAGTGCAAAATAACTTTCTAAAATAAGGGCTGCACTCACAATTCCCCTTAAAAATGTCAAAATGATGCCTTAGAAAAAACTAAACCAAGGAAATGAAGGGCACTAACAGAGAAACTACGAATAGTCCATGGTAAAAAAAAAAAAAACCAAACTATGCATGGGTACTCACCAAACTTCAACTCCAATGACTCCCTAGCATTAAACCACGGCAGTTAAAGTTAAAGATTTGGTTCAATTATAAATCCTAGAATTTCTCACTATAGCCATGCTAATTTGGGGCTGACAGGGGATACAATTCACTAAGATACAATGTAGTTCACTAAGATATTGAAGGCTTCACAACTTCTACCTAGGGAATATACAATATTGAAACAGTAACTTGGAAACAAGCAGCTGGCACAGCAGTATACAGGAGCAAGGATACACATACCAACCAGAACATACAGGGGAGGAGTTTTAATTTGGGGTTGTTGTAGGTTTTTTCGGCTGTATGGCCWTGTTCTAGAAGCATTCTCTCCTGACGTTTCACCTGCATCTATGGCAGGCATCCTCTGAGGTTGTGAGGTCACAACCTCTGAGGATGCCTGCCATAGATGCAGGCGATATGTCAGGAGGGAATGCTTCTAGAACATGGCCATACAGCCCGATAAACCTACAACAACCCAGTGATTTCGACCATGAAAGCCTTCAACAACACAATTTAATTTTCTTTATATTTTTCCAACACTGGAGGAAAAAAAACTAACATATCAATTCAACCTTTTTGTGTGAGTCAGGGTAACAGGAAGGGATTTCTTGCCAGTGGATCCCAAAGGTGCCATCCACTAGTTCCTGAAGAAATTGTTTATGGCTGTCACACGTAGACAGCAACAAGTAATTTTATGGAAGAACAAACCCCAATTCATAGGAAGAGTCAAGTAAATATTATTATAATTATTCATGTTGTTGTTATCATTGCAATTCATCTTCTTTGCCTATATTGTGCTATAACACTATGCAGTAATGACTACAAGAAGTGACATGTTTTGCCTACTCTATTGATCATAAATAGGAAGCAGATTTATTTAAAATATAGGAACTGAAAGAGGGTGGAGTGAAGGCACTGCTATGAACAGCAAGCAAAGAGAAGAGGAAACCTCAAAAATGCACCACAAACAACCCTCTTATAAAGGCACAAAACATTTTGAGTCAAAGTGTTTTTCCTAAGAGAAAACTGAACTTGTCTATTTTGATTATTTATATCTGAATTTCCTTCAAGAAAACTTAAGGTAACATATGCAACATTCTTATCCCATCCAGCAACAGGCAGCAGGAAATTGTGTCTTCTTATTCTCCACAACTGAGCTGTCACCTCTAAGAAGCAATTCAACTGCTTCTTTGAGGAGGCCCACTATTCTTCCAACTGTAAAAATACCACAAGTAAACCACTTGTTTGATAGGGCTACCACAGAGACACCTCAGAATGAAATATTCAGCAGGGCAGTTTCCATGAGCAGTTACCCACCCAACCTTCTCCTCTTACCGGGTCACTTCAGGATGTGAGTTCTGTTTGGAGAGCTCTTTTGAGCAGCTACTACCCAATCTCCAATTCAGAGTAAAAGATCTAATGAGTGTGATTGCCAGAGTGGCCACCAATGTATTTCCTTTAAGTGTAGTAAGAAATCAAATGGGAAAATTCTCCAGTGTAGCTATCCACCCATTCTCTCACTTTAAAAGAATACCCTCAGAAAGATCCAGTGAGGTAGGATACAATAAACTACATCAGTTAGTGGTTTTTTTGTGCTTTTGTGCATGGAATTGGTACTTTTCTCCAAAAAGTAAATCCCATGATTTTTGTGGTAAGAAAACAACTAATATGGCAATGAGGCAAAGCAGCTTCTGCTCCCAATTCAGATGGCAAATCCTCTTGTATCACCATTGGGGTAAGAGCAAACAGATTTGCCTTTGGATGACTACTGAATAGAATGGAATTAAAAATTCTCATTGGCACTGTTAGCCTTCTGCTACAGACAGGCATGTAGCCGGGGGGGGAGGCTTGAGGGGCTCCAGCCGCCCCCCCAAAATTCTCATGGTGGTCCACGAGAAGGCCTTACTGGTACATTATTTAAACTGTTATGTTTATTCATATCATGATCTGATCACCATGCTCAATATATCCCATATGCATGGGGGTATTGGGGTAACAATACAAAAGGTTTACTAGGGTAGACCCTCTTTCACTCAGACTCAGCTCCCCCTCCGAATCAAACTCAGCTCCCCACGAATCAAAATCCTGGCTACGGGCCTGGCTACAGAGTGTGTATTGTTTAACCCATGTTGGGTTAAACATTTCTACATTTGACAAAAAGCTGTTAAGTGGTCCACCTGTACTTACCAACAGGAATGCCCTCACAGGTGGAATCTTGTTCAGTTCCATCAAGAGCCTGAGTGCTTTCTCATGGTTGCTGCAATATTCCTCATAAACAATGAACTTGTCTTTCTGCGGGGAGAGCGTGAGAAAAAGAAAGAAGCATTTATCTCAGTTTTAATTCTTCAAAAATACTTCAATTCTATAACACACATCTTCAGTTTTGTTGTTTTATAGATAGATAGATGATAGATAGATAGATAGATAGATAGATAGATAGATAGATAGATAGATAGATAGAGTAGTTCCTAGTGTAGAAAATACATGGCACTGTTCTATCAAAGGCATGGCTTGTTTCTTTGATAGTGTGTAAAAGGTAAGAGTGAAGGTTTCTCCTCGAAATTAAGTCTAGTCATGTCTGACTCTGGGGGTGGTGCTCATCTTCATGATTGCATGGAGTGCCATTACCTTCCTGCCAAAGCGATACCTATTGATCTACTCACATTTGCGTGTTTTCGAGTTGCTAGGTTGGCAGAAGCTGGGGCTAACAGTGGAAGCTCATTCAGCTCCTTGGATTAGAACCGCTGATCTTTCAGTCAGCAAGTTCAGCAGCTCAGTGGTTTAACCCACTGCACCACCCAGGGCACAAATGAATAAAAACAAAATTAATCAGTTGCTATATGTATGTTGGGTTAACAAATACAAATATGCATACACCCCTGCCTATATCTGTAATGGGCATAAATATATGAGAAACACACACTCCTCAGTTCTTCCACATTTCTAATGTCAAAAGACGGTTGAATTTCATTTTGCATTTTCTATGTCACAGTTCACACTGGACAACAGATTTATTTCTAACTGTACAAAGATCAGTCATGGTAAATCCACTGCAAAACAGTCATCTGCAGAATGTCACAAATTGTTTTCTCGAGAAACTGTAAACCAATTTCCATGCTAGAATCAATCAGACAAGGAATGACTGTGATTCAGCAGATAGTTAGCAATTCTGTAAGGAGCATTTCAACATGTTATAAACAGAAGAATCAGGAGGTATTTAGTATCTGTTGAGCTCCTTATCATTTGGCATCTTAAAATCTGATGCATATTTTTCTCAAAAATAACTTTTAAACTACTTGAAATATATTAAGCCAGTGAAATAGTACCAACTGCTTGCACTTTCTGGGTTGGAAGGGATGGGGTAGGATAATGAGCTATTTCCCTTGAAAACGTGGCTCAAGAAAGAGTAAACTCAATTCTGTAGATAATCAGTGGTGCTTTGAGCTCTAGCTGGGATATTTAGGATATAGGTTCCATTTGATCTTGAGTCGACAGATTAATGGTATGCTAGATACACTATGATAAACAAGACTTAAAGGGAGCATGGTAGACTGCAGCAGTAGACCCTACCAGGATGCTGGGTCCCTAAAACATGTTCAAGGATGTTGGATGCTGACAACAAAATTGAATTCAACAAGAAAGACTGAAATAGATTAGTTTTTCTTTCCCAAACTGATGGGATTACAGTTTCCATCAGTGATGGCCATGGGGAAAGGGCATAGTTGAATACATATGGAGGGCCTCATTAGAGAAATCTCAATCTAGCCAAAATGGAAAAGGCTGTACCCAATCAGATGTCTTTAGTGGCCTCTGGAAGGTATAATGTCTCTGAACCTGGAGGTCACATTCAACATCAAAGATGAGAACCGCTGGCAGTCGAATCTTCCATGGATGTCACTATTTTCTTTTTAAAACCAGTAGTTATTATGATTTCAGTTAGCAAATTCTGTAAGTTAATTGTATGTTGCCTGATAAAAATGTCATGAACTATAAACTACCTTCTTTTTACGACATGGCAAGAAACACCTGCCTCCAAAGAGCAACACATAGGACTTCACAAGTTAGGGTAGAAACTACATAAAGGGATGTTTTCATTGTCCCTCAATAATTCTGTATTTGTTTTGATTCTTTATCAAACACAAAAATAGCAGCAGATAGTAACAAAGAGAGGAAGGAAAGAAGCTGGAAAGCAGCTGGTTCATGGACTTTATCCTTTGCTATGCCACACATCTGGAATTGCAGCTGCTTCTCTTCCAGGCAAGTCTGAGTTGAAGATTGAAATGCCATAAAGACAAATGTTCTTGGTTACCAGATGCAGGAAATTCTTTAGCTGGGGATGTGATGCAACAGGATGGGGCAGCCTTTGTTCTAAAAAGAATCATGGAAAATAGAGAGACACCATGGCTTAAGGATAAGGTGACTTGTTTGCAGAGAGATTGGTGGTTTGATTCCTACCAATGCAAAAAGCGCCTCTGATGCCAACTTGCAAGTTGGTATAAAAAAGAGATAAATATTTACAAAACAGAGGTCCATCTGTGACTAGGAAATACACTCCTATTGAAGATATGTCTTATGGCAAGATTGCACTCATTTTGCACCAGAACCAAAACTCCATTTGAGCACTTTAATTTAATTTATAAATGTTGTAACCTGCATTGAGCCACAAAGAGAGGTGGGTAAGAAATAATATTATTATCATTATTAAATGTAAGTGTAGTTGAAATAATGTATACCAGTGCTTCTTAAGTTATCTTATATGTTGGATCTGCTGGCTTTTGTTTTCATGATCCTAGAATCACACATGTTTCCATTAGCTTACATACTTTTCTTCTTCCCAGAAACTTGCTGCAGATTGGCAGCCAATGGCTCACTGGGCAGCACTTTCAGAAGCACTGATTTATATGACTCTTTGTTTTCACAGTCTTTAGGTTTCATAAACTTAAATCCATCTGTCATTCCCAACTAAATGCCCTTACTGAATCAATGGAATCTACTATGTGTTGGCTTCCCAAATGCTCATTAGCAATGGGTCTACTCCAGTTGACTTGTGTCTGTGGTTTCACTTTCCTACATCCAACAAAACATATGTTTTTAAGGAATTTTCTAGATCTTCTAAACAATTCTATGGTATATTTCTTCTGGACGTTACCACAGAGTCAAATGTATGACTTAGCAAATTTCTAGAAACAATACCTTATGGTAGGGTTAGGGCCAGTATAATCAAAAACATCTTGAAGACACAGGACAACACCAAGAAAAAAATATGTACTTTACAACTGTATCATTTTAATCTACTTTCATCCTAAAAAAAACATTATATTTGTAGTTTAGTGAAATACTTAAAAATCTTTCTAGATGCTCTACATCCCTCTAACGATGATTTCTAAAATATTCTAAAAAGTCAAGATTGAGGATTAAAATAATTTAATTATGAAAAGCTATCTGTCAGAGCATATTACTCACTACAAATCTCAAGATTTCTTACAACATACCCAAGGCATTTGGACTGAAATCTGGAAGTTACAATTGTATTCCCAAAATACAATACAATCCCATATCTGCAGGGGGAAATGTTCCCAGATTTTGCATGGATATGCAGAACCATGGATAATAGCAAGCCCTATTGAAATGAAGGACTTCTGGCCCAAAAATGTCATAAGAGTTTCAGTGAAGGGCCTAAAAATACTAAGAGATAATATATTTTGTCAGAGATGGCAGATACCAGTCCCAAGGATACGGAGGCCATAATGTATTCAAAACTAGCATTTGGGTGTGGTTCTATTAAGCAAAGTGGCATAGCCATTGCACATGACATAGTGTGAGTAACAGGGAAATATGTGCACTCAATTCCTGAGAGAATCACAAACACTGGATAATTTGCTGGACATGCGCTGCCTTGTCACAAACACTGTAACTAAGAAATATCTCTCCTAGCCCCACAGAATAGGAAGCTTTGGAGAGATGTGACATCTGCTCTCTAGCAGTGTGAATGGTGACAGCACAAGGATGGATTCCAAGTCAAAAATGTCATACTCTGAGATCCTGAACCAGGTAATTGGAACTGACTAATTTTGTGGAGAGTTTCTCCCAAATCTTTTCAGAAGGCATAAAGTGATAATGTATCTGTGCCTTCAAGTTGCCCATCAGCTTACATCATCCCCAATTTCATAGGGTTTGTCAAATAAGGAATATTCACTGATAGTTTGACATTTCCTTCCTTTAAAATATAGCCTATTAGCACCTGATTTTCCTTGGTTATCATGTAAGTATTAACCAGACTCAATTCCGTTTAGCTTTGCAGATCTGGCTACTAGATATGGACCCTTCAGGGCACCGGTACATCAATAGATACAGGAAAGGGGTACTTGTCTTTCCTCCTCTGGCAAGGGAGTTTAAGCATCACTGCCCAGAATCCTTAACATTGACCCAATGTACAACATAAGGATACATAAATGAGTCAGATGCTTCAAAAACAAATTCTTCAGAATCACAGCTCTTGCCACCCCAAGTTCATTATAGATGAGGAGAGCTTATGCTGGGGCAACAGAAGCTGATATCACTTTGTCAATTATGATTGCAGCTTGGTGACTTTGGTCACAGTTTTAGAGGTTATATTTAGATCGCAATATCTCCTGGCCAAGTTCAGTTCAATATATTCTGTAATTGCACACATGCCAGAGGGCTTTCATTAAGACTTGCCCAGCTGCCCTTCATGCATAAGACCCACAAATATGAAAGCAATACTTTAAAATTACCCAGCGCCTGAAGTGTTTAATTTCCTTTCTGGGTGACATTGAGGTTTCTCCACTGGATGAGGAAATTATCCGTTACATAATTGCAGATGCTACCCCTCAAAAATTAAACCTGTACTTTTTTATGCATTGTGACCACTAACCAACTAAAAACAGAATCTTTCTTACTCAGCAAAGTATCTTCCTATTTTCCTTTGTAACTTTGGGCTATTTCACACAATATGCAAAAAAGACTGGGGGGATTTTTGTATTACACATGATAGACTGTCATGGGTGGTGATTTCAGCTGTAGACAAATAGCTATATGCGCAATGCAAGAGGAACACATGGCTGGCTGCATTTGCCTAGTGCCCAAACACAAGTGCATTTAGCATTTTGCACATAAATGCTAACACTTGTTTCATGCACAACATTCATGGCATAAAGGATTGGCAGTCAGGACATAACTACTAACAAGTTAGTGCTCTGCCTAAAAACCAGGGGAAAATATTGATCTCAGTTAACATTGCCATGCATTTCTCTGCAAAATGAACATATTCATGTGCATATGATAGACACATATTTCTCTTTATGAAGTGCCTGCATCCAAATGGGCTTTTAAGCATCTTATTAAGTCTATAATATAGACTGCATATAAAAGGGGGAAAATCTGACCCCAAAACACTAGGAAATCCTTTAGAAGAAGGAACACCTGGCAATTCTGTTCATTCACATTGTGCCTCCATTAGTGTACAAGTGGGAAGGAAAAGGATGTGAGTTAGCCAGAAGCTTCCTCTTGTTTTGTCTCTAATTAAAAGGAAAGGAATGTAAATATTACTTAGTTGCAGCTGGTAGTCCTATGCATGCAACAGACCAGGGGATGGGTTGAGGACCAGATTGTTGCTCCACTCATGATTGTCATGTACTTATGTAAACCCCAGGAGAAACCTTATTCATGAAGTTGATTTTGGAGCATCACAGAGCCAACATATTCTCTTCATGCACTCATATTTACATATATTTACATATTTTTTCAGGCCCCCTGGTGGTGCAGCTGGTTAAACCACCGAGCTGCTGAGCTTGCTGACCGAAAGGCTGGCAGAAGATAGGGCTAACAGTGGGGCTAAGCTCCCGCTGTTACGCCCAGCTTCTGCCAACCTAGCAGTTCAAAAACATGCAAATGTGAGTAGACCAATAGGTACCGCTTCTGCAGTAGGTAACGGTGCTCCATGCAGTCATGCTGGTCACATGATCTTGGAGGTGTCTACGGACAACACCGGCTCTTTGGCTTAGATATGGAGATGAGCACCATCCCCCAGAGTTGGACATGACTTTTACATATTTGTTCAGTTCTTCACCTTGCTCTGTGTTTACTATTAACACCCTTTCCAGAATGATGCTGTTTTCCACAATCCAAATCCAAAGTAACATTCTAAGAAAAAAATATTCTCCACAAGGAAAAAATTAAGAGAATTAAGGCCATTTGTGCTTAGCCATGTTTGATATGGTTTATAATATTTTGTAAATGCAACCATTTTTGCTAACTCACATTCAACTTCCACACAACTTGTATAATGTCTCACTGAATACCACTGAAGGTTTGAAGCTACTTAAGGTGAGAAAGGTGGGAAATATATTTCACCAAAAAGATAGATTTCAAGATCACATTTTGGATTATCATACTTACAAATTTTAAGAAAACATCTCCCAGTTCATGGTGAGATTGAGGTTCCGGTTGTAAACAATATTCCAGAGAAGTCAAGAAGTCTTTGTGAACATCAAGGATGTCTTCTATATTGGAAAATAAAATCTGTAACATAAAGAAATATAAAATAATAGCTGCTAATGAAAACCATGTTTAAAATAAATTCTCCATCCACCCATTTTACAGAGTTTTATTTTGTAATTTTAAAGTTTCCTAATAATACATATGTACACCATTGAGACACTAAATTAAAGCACAGTTTAAAAGGATACTAAATTATGTTTCAGCACCATATCTGAAATGAAAAACTATAGTTTGTGTTTGGCCATGAAATCAAAATAAGTAACAATAGTTTAAAAACAACCATAATTTCTAACAATGTGTGATGTCTATATTGAAAAAACAGGAAGCTCTGCCTAGCTTTAAAACTAGTTTTGTCTATACACGTGGATGCTTAAACTATGATTTGGATTCTAAATGTTGCCGAATGCAAACTATGGTTTAGTGTGGTGTCTCAACTGAACCACAGTTTAAAAAGGTCTAAGACATTATAAATGGGATCTTAAACCTAATATTTGCATCATTGAACCTTCAACTCATCAATTAACATCTTTATAATGAAGGGTGTAAAGAACTGAACTGAACAGGAAAAAAGAAAGAGAAACTAACAAAAGAAAAAATGTGAATTTAAAAAAGAGACAAAAGTGAAATAGAAAGTTCCGACTCAGCTCAATGCCTTATAATGCATGGCTTACAGTAATTATTTTGGTCAATATTTGTTTCCACGCACATTTCTAAGTTCAGTCCTTTACCTTGACTTAAAGTCCTGAATAGTCTGGTTGAAAAACACTGTAGAATCAGGCTACCTAAAAGACTTCTTGATCTCACATTAACATGCTCAGCAGCTTAAACTACAGTTGAAGTCCCTTCTCTGTCATTGTAGGAAACAGTCTGTAACTTTAATGACTGATTGTTTTATGAAATCTTGTTAAGTTGTCTTAACCCATTTTAAATAAAATACCTAACCAATTAGCAATGTTCTCATCTGCTCTTTCACATTTACTCTGCAAAGAAGTGGTAGGCTTCTCTTCCACTCCTTATGGCTACCTTCTTTATGGTAAATGGTAGTCCAACACATCTGGAAGGCACCAGGTTGGGGAAGGCTAGCTATAAGGTTTCTCTTTATCCACCATGCTTTTTTACTTCTATATAAAATTGTTGGGCAAACTTAATCTGGAGGTCATGTTGAAATAAGCTTGAGGATAATACACAAGTTGTCGAAGGCTTTCATGGCCCGAATAACTGGGTTGTTGTAGGTTTTTTAGGGCTATATTGACATGTTCTAGAGGCATTTTCTCCTGACGTTTCGCCTGCATCTATGGCAAGCATCCTCAGAGGTAGTGAGGATGCTTGCCATAGATGCAGGTGAAACATCAGGAGAGAATGCCTCTAGAACATGGCCATATAGCCCGAAAAAGACTACAACAACCCAATACACAAGTTGTCAATGAAAGAGCCTGTCTTTAACCAGAGGAACTGCTGGCAATCCTCCATGCATCCATGCTGTTCTCAAGGTAATGCCAACAAGGAGTATGCCTTCTGGGCCATAAAGTCAATCTTGCATCTCCCTTCATCTACTGATGGGGAGAGTCTTCTTTGCCAATCTCAACTGCTCTGACTCCACGATGGTAAAGGGAGTGGTCTTCCTGAAGGTACCAAATCTGAAGCAGATTCATACGCTCCTTCAGGAAGCATAGACCCATAGTCTGATCTCGATTTGCCAGATGATTACAAATTGACACTTGACCACAATTAATCACAGCATGGTGTTTGTTTTAAGTGACAGTCTGTTCTAGTACAGTTGCTTATAACAGCTGCAGTCCCTTCTTTGGGATATGTTAGGCCACAGAGCAGAGGTCGACCTTGTTAATAGGTTCTGACATGCATTAATTATCTGTTTGGTATGCATTGCCCTCTGTCTTACCATTAGCTGCTTGGCTCTTGATAGATGTACAGTATTCCTCAATCAGCCAGCTGTCAAAGCGAGAGATGGCTTTCTATTTCACAAAGTGGTTTTAATGAGGAGTTTAAAAATTGTTCATGTTGCTGTCCTCAAAGCAAATTTATCCCCATTTAGGTCATGTATATTGTCACTGTTACACACAATGTTGCAAAGTCTTAAATCAAGTGATTTCGTTTCCAAAGCATTAAAGTAGATAAGTACATGTATGGCTGTGTCCAGCTGAAAAGGTAAGTTCTGTCTAGTAAGAAGTCACATTTCTGTATTTCTGCGAGCAGGGATATCTCCATCTCAAAAGATTGAGATGGAGAAGGCAAGTGAGTGGCCTTCAACTGTTGTAAATTACTACTCCCATAATCCCCAATTACTAGTCATGCTGATTGAGGGTTATGGAAAATCAAAACATGAAATGAACAAGGCACCTACCCCTTAACCTAACAGCATCATTTAATTAGCATGCAAAAAAGTCCTGGCAGACAGGACCAAATGTCCCTCCAATAACAGATTCTGTGCATAATGCTGAGCAGATACAAAGAAAGGTATCAGAGTGATAACCGTGCACTGTAGTTTGTGCTTTCAGCATATTATTTAGAGATACTGTACACTGTCTTTGAATGTGAAAATGCCATTAATCTATTATAGCTAATACCTCTTGACAGATATATTTGCCTATCAATCTGAGATCTAGTTAGGCTGCATGAGTGGCACAGAACCAATAAGATAATAGGGTTAAATGACTGCAACAATCTCTTCTTATCTTACAGCAATGTGGAGAATGACTAAATCTGTAAGAAAAACATTTTAAGCACTTACTTTCTTACAGTCAGATCCCCATACTTGCAAGGGTTGGGACTGAAGAATCCCCATGAAAGTGAAAAAACATGGGGAAACACCTTTTTAAGAAGAGAACGCCTCCAAAAGGTCCTTCAGCCAGAGCATGATCATAGAGTTGCACTGGAGGAACTAGAGATTCTTATGAGAACATTTTAATCAAACTTGCAAATTATGAAACACACAAAAGTCAAATCCTAAGTGTGGAGACCTGACTGTAAAAGGTAAAGGTTTTCCCCTGACATTAAAATTGATTCAACTAGCCATGACATAAAGTAGACCATTTCCAGCAGCTTCACTCAAAAAAGTAATATATCATTGCCACCTGTAGGCTTACTGATATCTGGAAACCCAGACTTTTATTTCTATATCTGCTTCTGAAATCCTCCTAGTTCTTAGTCATGGGACAAACTGGAAATATCCTTCTGCATGCATAACGAAGCATAAAGGCACTTCAGGCATAAACACAATTAACAAAAAACAGGGAACATAAAATGAATCTTGATGTGGTATTTGATTGTGTATAAGATATATTCAGCATCTTTCGTGGTGATAAGTTAATTGGAATAAAAACAATAGCTATACTATTCATCAGCTTCTTTTTGTTTGCTGCCTCTATAGGACAGTAAAAGCTTCACTGGCTGAATTTTTAGTCATGCACAGCTGTGGAAACCAGCTCAATGAGCCTTTTGGAAGAATATGTTGGCAATCCTATGTAGAATTGACCCTAGAGAAAGACTCACAGATGCCATCACAGGACATCTCTCCAGCAGATGAAAGAAAAAAAAAGACACGTAACCCTGGTTGCCCAGAAATATTCCTCATTTGCCTTCAAATTCATCTCTGAATTAGTTGCTGAACCAAATACACTCCTCTCATTCATTTTCCTCATGGTGCTTTTGTCCACAACTACTACAATGAGCAAGAGGTACTATGGGGTGGATGGGTAGATCATACATCTGAGGATAAACATGCAGAACACTCTACTACACAATTTCTAACTCTTGAAATTCTTCTCTATCTCATTTTTAATCCAAACAAATAAGAATTTTGCTCCTTCTACAATCTCATACTTCTTAACTGGTTTCTAAATCCCCATCTATGTTTCTTCAATGCCCCTCCCTACACACAGCTTCTGTTTCCGAAATCTATTCATGGCATGGTGCAAAAAAAAAAGGATTGTTCTTCATTCTTCCATCTCTGCTATGTGTTTCTAACAGAGTAGCACCAAACACAACTGGGTAGGTGGTCTAGAGGGAAGTGTGTTTGAAGGTTCACAAGGCTAACAGAAGGATCTGTTGTTGTATCCTTTATCAGAAACAAGGCAACATTCCAATTTCTACTCTGCCCTAGATCTGGATTGGGTGACTTTAAATCAAATTTATCTCCCATGTTTTCTGGACCTCAGCTTAATCCAAGACAGGGAAAGGACACTTATCACTAGATGCTATTAGTGTTTGTTCTCCAAAATTGATAGCAGATTTTAAAAGAAATTATTATTAATAATAATAACTATGGATTGTTGATGTCTCAATCCCAGGTGATAGCAGGATTGAAGAAAAACAACTGGAAAAGCTGACACGATATGAGGATTTAAAGATCGAATTGCAAAGACTCTGGCACAAGCCAGTCAAGGTGGTCCCAGTGGTGATCGGCACATTGGGTGCAGTGCCTAAAGACCTTGGCCTGCACTTAAACACAATTGGCACTGACAAATTTACCATCTGCCAGCTTCAGAAGGCCACCTTACTGGGATCTGCACGCATCATTCACCGATACATCACACAGTTCTTGACACTTGAGAAGTGTCCAATACAACAGCCAGCAGAGTGAACTTGTCTGCTATGGACTCATCTTGTGTTTCAAATAATAAAAATAATAAATTTTATTTCTTACCTGCCTATTACTTCACATTTGAGAAAAAAATCCACTTAAAATCCAGTTTCTGCCTCCTGCAGAATTCTGGATTTTATAGCTTAGGGAGGAGCCTTTTAACAGCCTCACTAAACTACAAACCCCAGAATTCTGCAGGAGACAGGAACCGGATTTTAAGTGGATTTTTTTCTCTAGTGTGATGAAGTAGAATAATGACTCAAGGTATAGACAAACTCCTGCTTTGAACTAAGGGAACTACAGATGCTATCAATTAGTTTCAGGGTATTTGGCTGTAAACTTCATTCTACACTCTCATATTCATATTTATTCATTGTGATCAAAAGGTAAAGATGTTCCTGATGTTTCTCCACTAAAGATGAAAGAAATATTTTTGGGAATTAAAAAAAAGTTTTTAAAGGGCTGAGAAGTGACAATGATCACCATAGTTTGACACTTCTTCTGCACAAAATTCACAACTGGTTGTTTTTTCTGAGAGGGGTGTGTGTAACAATTTTCTGTGATTGTTCCTGCACATAAAATGTTATTTTTTCTGCCAAGTCACTATGTTAAATTTTTCATAGAACAAGCTCCTAATTTCAAACATGCTTCAAAAATTGTCTGGAAGAATATTACTAAAATTACTTTTTTTCTTCCTTCAAGAATAAAATTAATGACAAATGACACCCCTAATCTCCATGCTAGGAAAAATACTCATTTGTTATCTCTATGTGTGATGCTTCTCTAAAAATTAAATTCCGTGCATAGAAAATAATGTGGTAATTCCAACTATGTGATCACTAACAGCCAACTGACTTAATAAATGTAAACCTGACCAACTGGGGTTGACATTAATCAGTAATGCATAAAGCAGTTGGTTTTCTGAGAGTCTTACCTTGACATTTTCCTCTGTTATGTATTTTTCAGCTTTGTCCACCGCATTTTGTCTAATTCGGTGCAGGAACGCCTATAGAGGAACAAAGAAAGAAAAAATAGTATTTTAGTCAAATTGAGAATGCTTTACTTTTACTGCTTTTATCTTCTAAGTTTCCAATAGATTGAGGGTGTCTATGGAAAAGGACTGATTATTTCCATACTGCAACCTATCAATACATGCTTCACTTCATTATGGGACATTTTGCATTCTGTGTAAGATTGTACAGAGATCTTTCTGACTTTCTGGTAATCCTAGCAAAGACATTATTACCACAAGTGGAATTTTGCAGTTTATCTTACAGCCAACAAAGCTACCTCTGCATTTGCATTTCTTCTGAAGTGTTTCTGCCAGTTATTTTACCTAGATATCTGGTATCAATGGCATACCAAAGGAAGCCAGTGTTTGTTTATCCCCTCAGTGCCTTCCCTTTCTTCCTTTAAAAAATAGGACTGTTTTGATTTGATTAGGAAGGCAAGAGGCCTGGGTCTCATCACATGAAGAGATTTGTGTCAAGGAAAGAAAAGGAAAGGACTAAAAGTCTCATCAAAGCCAAGAGGGAAACAGAAAGCACTTCTCTGAAACAGCTACATAGTGAGGCAAAGAACCTGGCATCATTTATGTGTGAGACAGGAAAAATAGATGCTATTTGGAAAAGGCTAATTGTGCATTACTCCCAATTACTACTAATTAAGTATTACTACAAATTTAATATTTATCTAGAATAGAGAACAGGGCTTGATCAAGAGATGATCTTTCACAATCTTATAACATCTAAGAGAATAGGTTTCCAAATATAATGTTTCTCATTCACAGAGTAAAGAGGAAAGATAGGGCTTTTCTAGCACTTCCTGCAATAAATGGCAGAGTTGAGCACTGGTCAGGAACACCACACCTAACAATGCTACCATTTCCACTTTGCACAGATTATGTGAGAACATAGGGGCACACAACAAGAATTTTCCACCTCATCTACATTGGGGAGACTGAGTGTACCATCCTTTGAAATTCTGCAGTAAGCACTGGCCTATGCCAAGTTAATTCATATTACAGCCTATGTGTATATTAACTAAAAACAAAACGTAGTTAAGCATACGTTATCTGGAATCCCAAATTCAAAAATACTACAGAATCTGAAGTTGTGGCTGAGATAGTGACGCCTTTGTTTTTTGATGATTCAGTCTACATAAACATGGTTTCATGCACAAAAATATTTTAAAAAATATCTAAAATTACCTTCAGAGTAAGCTGTATAAGTTGGATATTAAATATAAATAAACTGAATGCCTAAACGTGGGTTCCATTTTCTAGATAATATCTACACTACATTATATAGATAGATGCAAATGCAGATATGATTATTTTTAAAAACCTGATAATCTAAAAAACCCGAATTTGGTCCCAAGCATTTCAAATATGTAATACTCAATGTATAATCCCTTGGAATTCTTAGTTGTACTTATATCCAAAAGCTTTATAGAGATAATTAAAACCCATAAAATATCACACTTTTAAAGGGTTTTTTTAAAAAAAATAAAAAGTATTATTGTCCCAGTAGCATGGCATAAATCCTGAAAAACATTTGCTGCATTTGATCCTTCCCAGTGTAATTTTAGACCAAGGATCCTCAAACTACGGCTCGAGGGCCGGATACGGCCCTTCAAGGTCATTTACCCGGCCCTCCTTCAGGGTCAACCTAAGTCTGAAATGATTTGAAAGCACACAACAACAACAATCCTATTTCATCAGCCAAAAGCAGGCCCACACTTGCCACTGAAATACTAATAAGCTTATATTTTTAAAATTTGTTCTTGATTTTAATTATTGTATTGTTTTAAAGTGTTTTTGCATTACAAATAAGATATATGCAATGTGTATAGGAATTCATTTTTTTTTTCAAATTATAATCTGGCCCTCCAACAGTTTGAGGGACTGTGACCTGGCCCTCTGTTTAAAAAGTTTGAGGACCCCTGTTCTAGACCATGAAATGATGTGAAGTTCTTACAGAAGGAACAAACAAGAGTGTATCAACCAGACAGAAGAGATGTGGAGGTGTGAAGTAGGATGAAAATTAGTCAGAACAGACAAGAAGACCTAATAAAAACTGGATAGAAGGTGACCTACACTATACCTGAATTAAGGCAGATATTTGGCACAAACCTGTGTAGCATCGTACTCATCATCAATTCACCCCATACAAATATTAAAAATCTAAGTAATTAGAACAAATTCAAATATAGCCATTAAAAAGGAAACAACACTTAGAAAATACAGCACATTATGGTCTTTTCCCCTGGAGCAGTCAATCCACCAAGGCAAACCCTAAACAAAAAGGTTTTTGGCTGACATGAAATAATAGAAAGGAGGGTGTCAGACTAACCTCCCTAGAAAATAACTTCCAGAGCTTGGGAGCAGCCAGCCACCAAGAGAACCCTCTCCCATGTTGTCACCAGACACAGCTGTGTCAGTGGTGGAACAGAGAGAAGGGCCTCCCCAGAAGATCTCAAAAAACAATCAGACTTACATGGGAGCATGCAGTCCTTCAGATGACCTGGGCATGAGACTACAAGCCATACCTAGCAATTTGAATTGTGCCCAGAAACAGACTGACAACCAGTGGAGATGTTGTAACAAGGGAGTTCAGTATTCTCATCCCAGATAACTATTTTTAATGTCAGTTAGGTTTGGGATCTTTCAGAATTGAAAAGCAGTAGAGTAAATAAATTAACACCTGAATATACAAGACAATAATCATAATCACAATCTTTGCCCACCGATTGCACCAGTGGCTTAATTTGCTCTAATTCCCCATCCACCACCGCTTTTTCTGGGGGTGAATTATGGTGCTATGATAGCATTTGAGGCTAATCTACACTGCCATATAATACAGTTTGAACTGCGGTGAACTGCACGATAGGGGTCCAAACTGGTCATATAATGAAGTTCAAAGTGCGTTTTTGGCAATGTAGATTCAGCTTGAGTTCTCCATCATATAGGTGAAGGTATTCCTGGCCATCCAGACTTCACATCGGTGCTCATGTGAGATTTAAACAATGAGTATGCAGACACCATTCTTCCTCTTCAGCTAACTCAGAAAGCAAATGACTCAACAGACATTTCCTCTTCCTTCCCTTACAAGATATGCAACGCGTACAAGAGCTCATCCAAGGCTCATGTTTCTTTAAAATCAACTTACTGTTGTGACCTACACTGTATTTACTTGTGTGTTACCACTTATTCCATAGGATTTCCAGCTTCCCAAATTATATGGTCAGGAACTAGCTCTCTAATAAATCCTGCAGCATTTCACAAATTGCACATGCTTTAGAAGGCTCGGACAAGTCTTTAAAATAAAGAAAGCAGAAGAGACTTAACTATCTGATAAACTCTTTCCAGAAATCTGAACAAATGGCAGTTGACAAAACAACTGATTATCATTGCCAAGAAACACAGACCAGGGATCTAGCCTTGTAAAAGATAAACTCCCCACCTATCTAAAGAACAAAAAATGAATGAAAAGAACACTCTTCTTGCATTTCAAAAAACATCAGTAGTAAAATCCAGGCAGAACAAAACAATCACAACAAATAAAATTTTAGAAGTTCTCCCTGCGGGGAAAAAGAAGAAAAAGGCAAGAGGACAGCATCAAAGTTGAAAACAAAGAAGACATTATTGAATGCAGAACAAAGACAGATATACTGTTGAACTCCCTAGCCAAGAATGCAAGAGTGCACATGCAAAATACTTCTGCAAAGATTCAATAATTGCTTTTCAATTAAAGGGCTGGGGTAGGGAGAGAAAAGAAAAACTAAGGATGCTTCCAGGTGGACAGCTCCTGGTGCTGCCATTTAAAAGCTATTCTACCTTTCCCTTCTCATTGGATATTATCCAATAAGAATATATATATATAAACCAAACATAGGCAAAACACAAAAGGGTTACAAATTAGAAACAGTGACATTTGGCTTTCCATAAAATTCCATTAGTGAGACAGGGCAACTGGAGAGTAAAAGTTTAATCTATATAATATAATATAATAATAATAAAACTTTCTTTCTATCCCACTCTATCTCCCCAATGGGGACTCTGGGTGGTTCACAACATACAGTGGCAAATGTTCAATGCCATAAAGTGCAACCAAAAAAGCAAATAAACAAACCATAAACATATTAGACATCAACATCTAGAAACATCTGAAGCCTCAGAAAAAAAATGAACATGAGAACTAAAAGTGTGTTCCAGTACTTGTCAAATTATTAGCAACTTAAGTACATTAGCAACAATAATACTAAGCATGAATATGATGTTACTGTGTTCCATAAATTCAGAATATCAGCATAGCCTTATAAGGAAGGCCAGTCCAATTATCCCAAACTGCAGAACAAAAAGAGGCCCCTGATGTGTGATGATGTGAATCAGTTCTATTCAAACATAAAAGGTCATTTTCTTAAAGGTTCCAATGGTCACTGCCATGGTGCAAATATGAACAAAGCAAAAACACAGCTAGAGTATTGAGAAGTATTTATATTTTAGCCAATCAACCATTTTCTCCCCACTACTGACATGGAACCAAGCTCAAAAGAGCTAAAACAGAACCTATTTTCACATATACTAAGCTTTGTATTTTTAGGTATGTCCTCATTTGCTCAAGGCATTGATCCAAACAAAAGAAAGGCCAATATGTGGATATATACACACTCAATACTTATTCATCTAATAAATATTTGGCAGAATGGGATGAGTTCAGTATCCGTGTGAGTGCAGGCACCTAAGAAGCAAAGCTTTAAAAATATTTTGGGAAATCAACTTCTGTAGCTGCCATGGGGGTTCTGGGAATTGTAATCCCAAAAGAGGAATTTCCTAAGGTCCATTCAAAAGGAAGAATAGATTTAGAAGCTGAGGTAAAGTCAAAACACTTGAGGAAAAAAAATCTCCATACAACTGTAAGTTACAAAACAGTTACAATTAGCCTGCTTAAAGTAGACTCAAAATTGTATCACAATCCTTCAGGTCAAAGTTTTCTCTTCACTTGA